GTTAACGTGTTTCTCATCTTATATATTACTAGTTAACGCCGTGTATATTGATCAAGCGTCGGTCTATGTATGGCCATAATAATGCACTATTAAAATCTACTACATATAATATACACTTAATTTTAAGGAAATGTAAGGTACTAAGGCAGCAGGCTCGTTTTTTTAGTGACAATAATATTTTATTTATGTTTAAATAGTTTCGTTGAAGAATTATTGAATTAAACGTTAAAACTTGAAAAAAAAACAAACGTTAACTTCAATAACATAAGAAAATTTTTCAAAATTTTACAATACTTTTTAATATAAATGTTATAGTTGTTTTTATTATATTCAAAAATTATTGTATTATATTTCAAAGGTGCAGCACCGATCGCCAACAAACCCGCCAAGCGTTCGACCGCATGCCCAGCAGCGTAACTTTCTAGGACTGTTAATGATAAACCGAAAACTCACACAGAAATATATTCTACTTATTATTATTTTTCTATTATCGATAGTTCAATCTCTTACTGCATGGGAATTTACCGATATGCATAACGCAAGGAAATAAGTAACAATAAAAGATGTATTCTATCAAACTATTGGATATAACTGCAATATCATTAAGAAAGCAGGATGTTGCTTAGCTCACGATTGAATTTAACTATTCATGGGCTGATGAATAAATGATGGGAATAAGTAGGGATGCGATCGATTTGAGACCCGATTTCAATGATCGGAATAACTTTCTACGAAGCAAGTGAAGAATTTGCGCCAAATGTTGCTGTTCATTATTTAAACAAATAATTTTGTCGACAATTACAACCTTGACATAAACATACTATTTTTAATGTCTATTTGTTTCGATATTTAATAAAAAAGAAAGAAAATTGTTTATCCAAGGTACAACATAAAAGGAAACATACAAAATAAGAAAATATATACAAAATATGAAACACCGTACGACCAAAATGAAATTGAACAAGGTAAAAAAATATTAAAAAATATTATTCAAAAGAAAACAGAATAAAACAATACAAACTTTTTTTTCACACTACAATAGCTATTCGTATTCACGTGTGAGTAGAAGATATAAAAACAAACTAAAGACGCAAAAAAATAAATATTATACAGATAAGATTCTTAAAGATATTAGTTGATCCTAAAACGAAAAATGCTGTGGATAAAAACTATGGGATGATATTTAAAATTTGCAAAATTATTCCCATAGATATGAAAGTAAAATCCATCATTATATTAGAACAGCATAGTATGGTAAGATTTAAGAAACCTAGGACAAATATAATGCCGAAGCGAAAAATTACTAAAAGGAGGATATATCTCATACCTAGGGCTGAAAAGTACTTTGGACGGCGAACAAGGCAATGGATAACTCAAACTTTGTGTAATGAGGTGGCGGATATATGGAAAGTGTAACTAAGTCGTAGCTCAAACCCATCATGAGGAAACATTATCTGTCGGACACACCATAGTGGTGAATGTTTTTTTAATTATTTTTGTGTTAATTTAAGTATTTATAAGTACCAGATATTGTTATTAAGGACTGTGAAACGATAAACTGTTGCGTTGCCGACAAACTGGCTTACAGTTTGGCAAAATTTAAAATGTAAATAATGTACACTCTTTATAAGAATAAATTAAAAAAAAAACTGTAAGGTGACCCGATGTTATTGTAACTATGGGGTAATTGTAACTAATGCAATCTTCTCTTTGACAGTTGACAAGAAATTCTTCGTGAAGATTGGTACAAAAGACGTCTTCAAGAGGCGAAGCCTCCTTAGAAGCCTAAAAGCCGGGTTTGCCCTATCAAACTGCTCAATAAATAATATTAACTAATAAAATAACTCTTGAACTATTTTAAACTATTTCAAAATTCGCGCGCGCTCCTCTGTTCTACACAGGTTACCTTGTAGCCTTAGCAATACCGCTATCATAAAAAAAGAGTTCAGTTGAGCGATTAGTCTATCTTTTTACTGGGCCCTCGAGAAGACGAACGCTCCCTTTCTAACCTGTGGCAAAAAAGAGCAAAAAGCCAGGCTTTCGGTGTGAAGTTAGTCGAGTGCGGGGGTGCCGGGGCGATACGTTTGCAAGTTCACTTCATACTACAATGTTTACTCTGTTTACTCGAGTAAATGAATGTAGTGGGACTTGAAAACTTATGCTTTTAAAAGAATTTTGGTGAAAAGGAAAGATAAAAGTGTTCCTTATGATAAATTGAAGTGTGTTAAAGTGCTAATCGGTGAGGAAATAGTAAAATCTTTAAACTTTGTTGAAAAAATACATAAGGTCATGAGCATCTTTCAGAATTATCAATTATCGCAATTAAAAATAGTTATTGGTACAATTAAAAGGTACACCCAACATTTTACGTAATCAAATCTTTCCAGAAAGAGAGACGATTCGATTTTGAATATAAACAATTTGTTCAATTTTGTACATAGTTTGTTTGTACTTTGTTCATGCTTTTCTTTTGTTCATGTATTATAGTATTGTATGTGAGTAACTTTTTTTTTCACTCATGCAAACCCAAACGGCTTTTTTCAAGGCCATCGATGGTATGCAATTGCGGATATTTCATATAATCTATCTAGCAGTGGTATGCTTTCTGTGTGATTTGTTACACGTCCTCGACAGCACTGAATATGAAACTGAAGAGTGGAGACAGATCAAGATTGCTGTATTTTTATAAAACTGCTAAAATCAACAATCTATATCTTTATCAATTTATATCTTGGGCTTGACCTAGTTTGGAGCCCTAGCTTCGCCACTGTCAAGAGGAACAATCATGAACGTTCGTTGTTCGAACGGTCGTCAAACCGTTTGGTTCGAACGCGTAGTATACAGACAATGAAGTAGAATTCCTTTTCAGCCTAGGAGATTGCTTTTTTGCCATCTCTGTCACTAAATAGCAGTGGTCGCACTGCTGTGTTCTAGTCTTGAAGGTATAGGAAGCCGGGATTTTACATTCCGTGAGGCATCCTTTCCTAGACCACAAAGATTTCCACTTCATTTTTAGAAAAAATAGACAAACCGAGTCTGATGGTCTGGTGTTTGAAAAGGAAGGAATTAAGTCATGGAACTCATGCGCACACTGCGCATGAGTTCCATTCTATCTCCTCGTCGTTAGATATCTTCTATATCCTTTTTGTTCGATAGATCGTATATGAAAAATAAAATACCTTATCACCGAACCTTGTATTATTATCTATTTTTACCTGATGGTTAGTGGCGATACAAACGCAGATGGTAAAGTGCACTGACTTGGCTTAACAGAAACCCATTCACTGTTTGCCTCGATGAATTTTATCCACTCTTGATGAAAAGACGGATATTGGCAAATGATTCTAATCCTTTGCTGTACGTATTATAAAATACGAAGCAAACTGTTTCGTTCGTAAGCGTGCTATGTCAACAAAAAATAAAAACATATAAAGAAAAGTTACAAGAAACTCAAAAAGTAAAAGTTAAACTAATTTTAACTTTTATGGTGGCTTAAAAGTAATTCGGATAAAGGCAAAGAAAGTGCAAAATAGTAAAAACATAAGAACACCCTCGGCGTAATGTTAATATTTCATGCATAAATTATACACGTGAGTAGGAAACAACACGAAGCAGCAAAAGGTTTGTTTAAATATTCCTTTCGCAATCAAAATGCTGCGTTCGGTAGATAAGAATTCCCAACGAGTCTGAGTTTTGGTCGTGAATGTATGAGAATCGCTGAAGGATGGATGAAATTATTTCACTCGTCTATATATCAAATTTCTTCGAGGAAGGGAACGCACACCCCAATCCCGCAGCTTATTGTTTACGTTCCGTGGTGATTAAATATACAATAATACATTGAAGTAAAATTCAGGTCGTCTGGTTAAAAAGATTTTTTAATAAAAATTTCTTTTTTCCGAGATGTTAAAGAAACATTTTATGATTTCATTAGAATAGTAAGCATTAAAATTACAGGATCATAAAACTTGCTTTCTAATGTAAATTTTGAATAGATTCACATTATTCTATTGTTAAAAAACAGAACAATATTAAAGTTTACTTTACTTAAAACTAGAAAGTATTTACTTACAAGAGAGATACTTAAGAAGTCAAATAAAATTTTGCTTAGAATCGTATATAAATAAAAAATTTCACCGACGGATTATTTAAAGTAAACGTGGGCGCGATATTTCAATGAAAATCCTTAAAGTGTGCAGATTAAACATGAAAACTTTTTGTATTTGCTTAGCGTTTCACGGTTGATATAAGTGGATTGCAAAAGTTTTGAGGATGAGCATAAAAATGCTCGAGTTGAAGAAAAGAAAAAATCTGTATTAAGAGTGTCGCAATATCAGAGAGTATATTTTTCCTACCTGCATTAAGTTTTCTAGTAGCTGCAAAGTCGCTGAGCAAAATAACATTTTATTTTAAATATTGTCAGCGAAACTCGCCTACGAGTACTTAATTACGAGTTCTTATAGTTATTTCTGCATTCATTATTTACGAAATAACCTATAATGCTTTAATTAGCACGACGAAAAAATTCAAACATTTTAATTGCATATTAATGATAATAATGACTTTAACGTGATTGTGGATATTACGTGAGTTTTATATTGATATTTACACGTGCAATGTACACGTGTTCAGATAAAATATTTGTCAACTTATTGTATTACTTTTTCTACGATCGTTCTGATTATTTGTGATGGCCGCCGTGGCTTCTGAGTTCAAATTCCAGCCTCAACCATCAACATTTATGCCATAATATTAATTGTTCATTTTCGGGAGTTTTTTTTTTACAATTGCCCATGCTTGACACAATATCCTGAACTAATTGTGATCTTATAATAAGCATAACGCTTACTTATTAACGGGTAGGTTAGGATGAAGAACTTCGATATCAACTTACGAGACTATCAATAAACGAGTTACTAGTACAACTTATGGTAAATAGCTACTGCAGCCATGACACACCTACAAGCAACTTCAAATAAAGCATCAGATGTGCTGTGTACATGGCGGCAAAAACGAGTAAACGAGTTCTGCTTTTTGCTGCCGTCGCTGAGCCAAGTAGATATCATCATAATTGACTAATATATTTAACAAATAAATCTGCTTATATACAATTTAATAAATCTATCAATTCAAATCATAATATTTATCAAAATTAAGAGAAGTTACATGTACAAAATTTCAGGGAGGAACATTAGATAAAGATATAAACCGGAAAGAACAAATAGATAACGGATGCAGTAGAATTAATAAGTTTGCATATGTCCATAAACAGTTAAAGGAACAACATTACAAATATTAAAACGTTAAAGTACAAAGTATTTTACGCTATGGACTTATAATAAGTGGTCATGGTACGGACCGGAATAGAGCATTCGTTGCTAAAAAAAATTCGTACTCGTGCAATATATCGCCAGAGGAATCCTGTAAACCAATATTTAAAAAGACTTGGTATATTTATGAAGTCAGCATGTTTATTTAAAAAAATGAGTTACATTGTTTATTAAAGCATGTGATGTGTATACCCGAAACCAATGTCAGCAAGATAAACTTGTCTTAGATATTTTTCATAGCATTGGTTGGCAAACGAGCACACAGTCTAGATGGCAAGTGTTCTGTGAACCATAGACATCCACATTTATCCTCAATTAAGAATCAAAATGCAAATGTGCTGTGTCATCCTTAAGAACTAAGATGGAATCCCTCGATTCCAGTAAAAAAGTTCCCCGGTTCTCTACACTCAACATACGAAATACACAGCATTACATTATTTTACGCTGGTATTCTCTGAGAGCGTGGTTCTGCGCCAGTTGAGTCAACCCATTCGTACTACAACTATAATATAGATGCAGCGTGGCTCTACCACGTAAAGGATTTGATGTCATTCTTAGGCTTACTTTACCTTTTTTATTAAAACAATAATAGCAATATTATTAAACATTACAAATATTCCCTTTTACCGCTCCTGGTAAGCTTAAAATGCTTGTAATAGGAGTGGTTTACGATAGCAGTCGAATGGCGGTTTTGAACCCAGGCCACGGCTCGATAAATATAACTAAATATGTGTGAAAATATATAGTGAAATACCTTAAGAGTTTAAAATATTAAGCGAAGAATTATAAAAATGTTGACTTAAAATATTTTTAGATAGTAATTTATTAATATTGTCATATGAACAATTAAATATTTCAATCTGCATGCTATGATTTATTGTTAGCGAAATATGACTGCTCTGTATAAATTGTAAAATCTTTTAATAGCGTGATTCTTACAAACACAGATTTATGACACACTTAGGGATAACACCTACTGCAAAGCCAAAGCGTAATCTAGACGAAGTCGGGGCGTGGACGATGGGCAGTAAAATATTCAATGACTAAAGAACACCGTGCGTTTACGTATCGAAACCACCTTGATTACAATCAGTTCGTGCAGCTGTAATTGTGAAGATAGAAGGGGCGCCTCAAGAACTACGCCGTCACACCGTATCACACATCTCAGTTTGTGCAGCTGTAAATGTGAAGATAGAAGGGGCGCCTCAAGAACTACGCCGTCACACCGTATCACACATCTCAGTTCGTGCAGCTGTAAATGTGAAGATAGAAGGGGCGCCTCAAGAACTACGCCGTCACACCGTATCACACATCTTAGTTCGTGCAGCTGTAATTTTGAAAATAGAAGGGGCGCCTCAAGAACTACGCCGTCACACCGTATCACACATCTCAGTTCTTGCAGCTGTAAATGTGAAGATAGAAGGGGCGCCTCAAGAACTACGCCGTCACACCGTATCACATATCTTAGTTCGTGCAGCTGTAAATGTGAAGATAGAAGGGGCGCCTCAAGAACTACGCCGTCACACCGTATCACACATCTCAGTTCTTGCAGCTGTAAATGTGAAGATAAAAGGGGCGCCTCAAGAACTACGCCGTCACACCGTATCACACATCTCAGTTCGTGCAGCTGTAAATGTGAAGATAGAAGGGGCGCCTCAAGAACTACGCCGTCACACCGTATCACACATCTCAGCTCTTGCAGCTGTAAATGTGAAGATAGAAGGGGCGTCTCAAGAACTACGCCGTCACACCGTATCACACATTTCAGTTCGTGCGGCTGTATATGTGAAGATAGAAGGGGCGCCTCAAGAACTACGCCGTCACACCGTATCACACATCTTAGTTCGTGCAGCTGTAATTATGAAGATAGAAGGGGCGCCTCAAGAACTACGCCGTCACACCGTATCACACATTTCAGTTCTTGCGGCTGTAAATGCGAAGATAGAAGGGGCGCCTCAAGAACTACACCGTCACACCGTATCACACATCTCAGTTCGTGCAGCTGTAAATATGAAGATAGAAGGGGCGCCTCAAGAACTACGCCGTCACACCGTATCACACATCTCAGTTCGTGCAGCTGTAAATGTGAAGATAGAAGGGGCGCCTCAAGAACTACGCCGTCACACCTTATCACACATTTCAGTTCGTGCGGCTGTATATGTGAAGATAGAATGGGCGCCTCAAGAACTACGCCGTCACACCGTATCACACATCTCAGTTCGTGCAACTGTAAATATGAAGATAGAAGGGGCGCCTCAAGAACTACGCCGTCACACCTTATCACACATTTCAGTTCATGCGGCTGTATATGTGAAGATAGAATGGGCGCCTCAAGAACTACACCGTCACACCGTATCACACATCTCAGTTCGTGCAGCTGTAATTGTGCAGCTGTAATTGTGAAGATAGAAGGGGCGCCTCAAGAACTACGCCGTCACATATCATGTCTCTTTGGGCAGCACACATATAATATGTGTTTTGGTCAAATTACAAAATAGTTTTAGCTGGTGCCATTTAAATGGTCAGCTGTTTAATGTTGTGAATATATGTTCTTCATTATACTATTAACGTAGTCATATTACAAATTTTGTTTAGAACCTAAAGATTAATAACTAATGTAATTCATTTGATAAACTCTGAAAGTCATTCGACGAGATGACGACCTCTCTCGCAGATCGTTAATTTGCGATAGAGGTCGCAATGATAGCGTTGAATGGAGATGGGCGGGTCGAATAATATCAAAAGGACGGTAGGTGGAGCCGGGTGACACTTGAGCGTAGACACTCACAGTCTGAGTGTAGAACAAGCTTAGCCGATGGTATAAGGTAAAAGTTACGGTAAACGACTAAAGTAAAAGTTGAACAGAGTGCTCTTGTACAGGCAGATATAACGCGTGACAAAGAATAAGGATACATTTAGTGGGCGCCAAAATAATTCATACTCACATTGCCTTGCGGAAAAGGGATATAAAAGAGCGAAGTATGTGAAAATGTAAATGCCGTAAATTGATATAATGATACATCAAATCTCCCCTCTAAGTTGTTCGTTTAAAATATTCTTTCAATGTGGCGGAGTTTTTTTGTTGGGGCCTGCGGGGGTCTCGGTTCCTCCCCTCCCCCTCAAGTTTTTTTTTTGGTTTTTTTTTGGCTTCCTTGTGTAAATTGTAAGTTTGTAGTGTACTTACTTTTTCCGGGAGAAAAGTTATAATATAAAAGTTAAGACTTGTTATAGATGAGAAGGATGAATATGTCAAATTATACTTCAAATGTCAACGTTATTCCTGCAAGCGGTGCAACCTAGTAACGGATGCTTTGGTAATCGACTGGTGGCATAAAATCCATCCAAGAACTTCTTCTTCATCATCAGCCCAGTCCACTGGACATTCCGTCACCGGTTTGAATATTTTATAACTGGCGATATACCAAAATCTTTCGAGTCATAATTTTTGTGGCATTTCTTTTATTATCGTCTTACGACACTCACGAGAAGAAGTTGGATGATGGATTCTTTTACGGCGTCATCATACGGTAACATTCAAGTATAGATAACTCTAACTGTAAAGACTGGCGATAGGGAGCAGCGTTTCCAAAGGTATCAGTTCCTGCTCACTAACCTGTCTGAACAGCGCGGTGATTATGGGCTTATCTAAACAAAGCATATCAGTACATGCATAAAAAACTTATGCACACGGTCGATTTTAAAAACATGTTATAAAAAAGAGAGAGAAGTCATAGATAAAACATCTGTTATTTTTATTTTTAATAAAATTTTTAAACTTATTATGTAATAGATTTTATATTCTAAATTTATCTTTCTAAAAAGCTTTTATTTTTTGCTTGTTATTATGATAAATATTAAGTGCTTATTTTAAGTTATGCTTGTTACTCCCATTTAATTTCTTTATTTTCTTACAAACTGCATTTAAAATTGAGTAATTAAGTTTAAAGTTCAAACACAAAGTTATTTAAACTTTGAAAGAGACTACTTAATTAGCGCAAATCTACTTGAACATTAAGCATTCTATGAGAGTCAAAGACGCCATTATCATTTGCCGTAGTCATTGTTACACAGTCATTTTTATCTAATTTAGTTATACAAATAGTGTCAACAATTCCTCTAACTGTGAAAAATTATATAATTAGGTTTACACTAAATGAATAATTAAGGCATAATGAGAACTTGTAAAGTGACATAAAAAGTATTGCTCGTGTCAGAGTAAAGTCAAACATTAAACGATCAACTTTTAGAGGAGAATTTTTGTATCATTATGTTAGTAAATGCCTAAATTTTTCCAGATTAAAGTATCCGGTCATAGTTCTGCGATTGTTATTCTGCTTACCAATCGCGATCACTTACGTCAAAAGTTTATACTTGCGAGAGAACGCTATATCGATCGAAGGATTAACAAACGAAAGAATATCACAAGAAATTAATATCATAAGCAATACTAATGTAATTTAGCGTTGATTTAATTAAGTGTAAATTATAACTATAATACAAACAGCTAAATAAATATTATAATCTATAATTATTATAACATAGTTTTCATTACGCATACAAGCCCATTTTTTATTGACGCATTAAAACTAATTTTCAAAAGAGAATCGACATCAAATTTACTGAACGGACCCGTACAAAGAAAATCGATTAGCATTATAAATTCAATATCATATAATAGGGATGTTTGCATTTTATCGAGATTCGTCAACTCATGGTAGGGCCGAAGTTAAGCGGATGGATATTATCTATTCATCGCGAGACCCTCGCCATCGTGACCCTAAAGAGGACCACTTGCGAACGAAAATATATTGAAATCATAATGCGAACATTAACCTGGAGCGTCCTTTGTCCGATCAAAGAATATTTTTTTTATATATTTTTAAATATCAGGGGTATATTTATTTAACAACAGCGTTTTAGAGAAATTACTTATTCATAGCACGTCTACATTCTTTCCTTGCTTTTGTTAACTCGAGCTATCGATTCGTTGTCGTCGTAACGCGCGAGTAACTTAACATAAAAATTTATTAAAGCAATCCGACGATTGCGATATCGATTCGTAGGTACTGTTCGTCTCTTTTAGTGACGTCATGGTTTTAACGTCAATTTAATAGATAAAACGAAGTAAAATAATGAACTGACGGGCCCGCGTTCATAAAATACGATTTTATCATACCGGTGGGAGAGACACGTTTTCGAATATCGTAATAAAAAAGTCACAGATGTCAAATTTATGACGCTGGACCATTGTAAAGAGATTAAAAGATTTACTACGAGTGGGGGTCGCTGCTACAGCCGATTCGTAGCCGCGGTGCTACGATATAAGTTCTACGGAGATTCAATTTTACAGCTTAATAACGTTGTAATCCTCCCACGTTGGTAGCACATTTTAAAATGCCACTGTTTTATAAATATATAACTTACGCATGAAGATTTCTCGGTTAAATATAAAGACAACGTACCTGAAACAATGCAATTATATAATTAGCAAAAATTTAATGAGAAAGTCATAAAACACAACTTCATTGTCTTAAAATTTCAAAATAATTTATCCATAATCACAAACAACAGCTTAAAAATAATCAAACGATATTCTATTCAATTGTCAACGCTTATTCTAAATATATGTAAAATATTTAAACAAAATAAAATATTTCCCGCGGGAGAGCACAATGCCAAGTTGCTGAATAAATCACGATAAGCACTACCGGCGTAAAATATATCATTTTCTTTATTAATCAAAATTAAGAGGAGCAGTTGACAAAGAGCTGTGCTTAATTAAAATCTATTTTACCCAGGCACTTTCATGCCTTAGGTTCGATCATCAAGTTACCGCGGCTTGGTTTATTCGCCCCAGGGTAGTTTTGCTACAAACAGCTTATTTCTATTTATAAGGCTTCCAACACTCGCTTTATTGTATATAGCAATTTTTAATGTTAAGCTACTTGTTTTTTGCTATACAAAATGAATTTAAAATGTAAAGTTTAACTATGCATTATAGCATTCTAAGAGTTCAACTGATGGTAACTGTATCCAATTGACAATAGCGAACAACTTCTGTACATCCCATCATCGAAATTTGTATATAAGTTTACACATAATATACTTAGTCAACCAAATCTAAGAAATACATTTTGACAGCTGTCATACACATGGGATAATTGGGAACGTACAATATTCGATTTTAAAAAAATCGATATCGATTATTTAGAGTTGGTAATCATTTACTGTTTGGTTTTAATAAATAAATTAAAAACGAATAACTTAAAACCCAAGATCTATCAGGTTCTTCGTATTTGTGGTTACTGCTTATTTCTAGAGGCACAGTTAAAAAAAATTAGGATTGAAACCAGATTAAAAATAAATTTATTAAATCACTTTCAGTACAACTAGTTGATCTGTCGTTGTTTAGAGTAATTGTTGTTTGATTTTCAATAATGCAGTCAAAATTAATGTCTTTTTTAAAGTCATCCATAATCAACATTTTCGTTTTTTTCCCACTCTTGTCCAATCATTCTTTGTGACATGAGTACATGCTTCAACGAATATAGAAGAAACAGTCCAAAAAGTCAAAACCGAGTCACAAAATAAGAAGACAATCCCAAGATCACAAAATACGCATAGTAAGCTCCCGAAATGGCGGGTGATTGAAATTACGTGGTGGTTTTTTCAGCGCGGCCATGTATATGAGTTTTTTTGCCTACACAAATTTACGTTGACAAAGTAAAAAAAAAAATAAACTAGTGTTATTCATGATTCAACGTAATTTAAAGATTTTAAAAATAAAAAATAACTAAACAAATAATACACTAAAAAAATTAATGATTCGATTATTTGAATATTTTTACGCATTATTTGAATATTTTTGCCGATTATTCGCATAACAATGAAATTTAATCATCCTAACACTACGGTAAGTTACAAAGCGACATATCATTGAAACGACGTCAAGTAAAAAAGTTAATACTGGTTATTTTTTTAATATTATTGCTTTGTTTGAAAGATTAGAATTTAAATTAATGATAAAAAACTATACACGTTGTAATGAAATATAGATAATATCGTAATTCTTAGAATTGCGAAAAAGGTTATTTTAAATCTTGTGAGTACGCTTGTACAAAGTTATTGCGGAATGATTAATGTGAAACGTCAAAAGGTATTTCCTAGATTTGGTTGACTATAAATACTATGGTCACTCTTAGACTTTATAACCTGCGGTGTTTGATTTCACTAAATCTTACCTTCGTCAGAAAAAAGATCTGAGTTACCAAAAGTCGTAAAAAGACACAAATGCATTGAATTTTTAAGCAACCACCTTGTCGATATATTTAAAAAATCTAATATTACAAAACAATAAATCAACGCTTCCGCTACACCGATTTCAGGAATCCCAATAA